ACCAGCTAAAACCAGCCAACCATCCTAGGCTGGTTTAAGCAGTTTTTTCAGCAGCTCTCTCAGGAGGATTAAATCAAATTTAGTGTTTATTTAAAACAAAAGGAAGCTGATCTGCCAGTGGGTGAGGAACACCTGGTTTTCTGTGTGAAATGACCAGATTAATTCCCCTCACTGGCAGATTATTCAGTAACTCACTATAATAACTGCACACTATGAGTCATTTATGAATTATTGGCATCTAGTGAATTCATGATCAGTTCAGCATGACCTCTGCATTAATAAACGTTAGTAAACAGTTTATAACTGCAGATACAAATGCTCTATTACTGACTTATAAACACATGTATAATGTGCTTAATCACTGTACTTTCATACTTTGTTTTAATTTTTCACTAAATTAACTATTGCATTAATAACACACCAGTTGTATTTAAGATTAGTTGGAGGTTTTTAAGATGATTCAGAATGAGTTAGTAAATGATTAATAAACTATTGAAATTAACGTTTATAACTCTTATTATTCAGGCGTATAGTAATTGTTGATTTGTATGTTAATGATTTATTTTTAACTCTGCTTCATCCAGTTCTGTGACCTAATCTAAAGTGAGGACTATTGATGCTTTATAAATCTCTTATAAATGCCAATTAAATGCTTGGTATCAAATGCACAATAATCTTTGCAATCGTATCTAAGAAGTAAAATGACTTGGATAATTGGATAAAACAACAATATAATAATTTATCAATATAAGAAGATGCACTGTTTAAACTGTAGTCTTTTTATTGTAGATACGGTTCCAAAGATTTTATTTTATTTTATGCAGTTTTATTTGTGTATCTTCAAATAAATAGAATTAATAATGTCGTTAATGTTCTTTTATTCCTGTTTAGAATATAACTGAGCCTTTAATAGACATTTATCCAGGATTCAATAGTCCTCACTTTAGATTAGCTCACAGAACTGGATGAAGATGAGTTAATAAAGCATTTATCAACATACAAATGAACTATTAGTATACGCCTGAATAATAAGAGATATAAATGTTGATTTTTATTATTTTTTAAGATATATTTTTGGCCTTTTTGCCTTTATTAAGTGGACAGGACAGTATTATAGACAGGAAGTGAAGTGGGAGAGAGCTGGGGTAGAGACGGGAGATGTCCTCGAGCCGGGATTCGAACTTGGGACGCCCTGAAGTGCTCCTGCACCATTTGTCAGCACACTAACCACTAGGCTATTGCACCGACATAAATGTTGATTTCAATAGTTTATTAATCATTTACTAACTCGTTCTGAATCATCTTAAAAAGCAACTAACGATGCTTAAATAACTGATTTGTAAATAATGCAATACTTAATTTAGTAATAAAAATAAATCATTAACAAAGTATGAAAGTGCAATGATTAAGCACATTATACATGTGTTTATAAGTCAGTAATAGAGCATTTGTATCTGCAGTTATAAACTGTTTATTAATGTAGAGTAATGCTGAACTGATGATGAATTCACTATTTGCTAATGCTTAATAAATGGTTCATAGTGTGTAGATATTATAATGTTACAGATTATTCATCTTATTTGAAGGAAAACACTACAAACCTTCACTTATTATTTCTGAAAGGAAGTAAAGCTTCTTGATGTGAGCATGTTTAGATATTTGGACTTGAACACTCTTGAAAAGCCTGTTTTGCAGTGTAGTGAACACACGGTTTGATCTGATACTGAAAACATTGGTGGACAGAGTAGTGTTGCAGGTATTTTGGAGCTTTGGTGGTTTAAGGATGTGTTTCTGGACCTGCGTCTCGGGACCCTTGCTGTTTATGGAGGATGAAGAGCTGCAGGATTTCATCTAAAATATCTTCATTTGTGTGATGAATGATGAACGAAGCGCTCAGAGGATTATAAACCACATGGGGAATCTTGATTTCTGTGTGAACTGACCCTTTAAATCACGCGTTACGTACATGAGAACACTTTCTTACTCACCAGTTTAGAGTTTTGTACAGACTCGATAATAACGAACCTGAATGAACACACAGACGAATGAAGGAATCGCTCTTTACTTGTGATTCTGTTTGTTTCATAACTCTAATATGTTTCTATATAATCTGTGTTGTTTTGCAGTAATGTATGATTCATAATTTATCTGTTATTACGTTTGAATGCAAGAAACGGTCTGCTATTGGAAAGCATTGTATAACGCCGATTAAAATAAAGAGGTTTTCAGCTGTTTCACTATACGAGGAGAGGTTACTCGCACAGAGCTCAGTTCAAGAGTGAGGATGTCTGAGGAGAATCACGAGTGTGTGAAGTTAAAGATGGAGATGTGTGATGTTAAACTGACTGGGCATCTTAAAGAAGCTAATAATATTGACCTTAATTAAAATAATATGGACCTTAATATTGTTATTTAATCATTTTAAAAACTACTTTTATTACATCCAAACTAAAATATTTTTATGCATAAGAAAAATATGTATGTATATATATATATATATATATATATATATATATATATATATATATATATATATATATATATATATATATATATATATATATATATATATATATATATATATATATATATATATATATATATATATATATATATATATATATATATATATATATATATATATATATATATATATATATATATATATATATATATATATATATATATATATAT